ATACACACATATTTTCTAATACCTACATCCATAAACACACACTGCCTAATACCTCCATCCATACACACATGCTGCCTAATACCTACGTCTGTACACACATACTGTCTAATACCTTCATCCATATACACATACTGCCTAATACATGCATCCATACAGTTTCTCACTCATCCAGCACGCTGTTTAGTATGCCGGGGCCGGAGTTATGTCATATTCCGGCTCCCGGCATCACAGATGTGCGCGAGGGAGCAGTGGGAAGCTACAAGAACAGCCTCCCTCGCTGCCCACCCTGTCGCCACCTGCCTCCTCTCCTCTGGCATTCATCGGCAGAGCAGGCACCTGCTATCAAGGTAAGCAGGTGCCTGCCCTGCCATACTGAAGAAGGACAGCTTTGGGGGCGCCCTGAGGCGGCCAGATGGAGCCTTCAGCACGTGAGGATCGGCCCGGCTCTGGAGGGGGGGGGTCTCAAGAAACATTATGCCAACATTGTAAAATGTACCAAATGGGACAAAAAAATTACTTGATAGGAAGCCATTAACTGGTTTTGTTTGCCAGTTACTAAATGATGCAGCAATTTTTCTAAGAGTAAAAAAAAAGCAATTTTTTTGTTTGCATTAACGCTAAACCTAGTGACAGAGGTGCAAGATTTTATTGTCAGTAGAATGCAGTGCATTGCTCATATATAGTTGCAAGAAAAAGTATGTGAACCCTTTGGAATGATATGGATTTCTGCACAAATTGTTCATAAAATGTGATCTGATCATCATCATGTAAGTCACAACAATAGACAATCACAGTCTGCTTAAACTAATAACACACAAAGAATGAAATGTTGCCATGTTTTTCTTGAACACACCATGTAAACATTTACAGTGCAGGTGGAAAAAGTATGTGAACTCTTGGATTTAATATTTGGTTGAACCTCCTTTGGCAGCAATAACTTCAACCAAACGTTTCCTGTAGTTGCAGATCAGACGTGCACAACGGTCAGGAGTAATTCTTGACCATTCCTCTTTACAGACCTGTTTCAGTTCAGCAATATTCTTGGGATGTCTGGTGTGAATCGTTTTATTGAGGTCATGCCACAGCATCTCAATGGGTTGAGGTCAGGACTCTGACTGGGCCACTTCAGAAGGCGTATTTTCTTCTGTTTAAGCCATTCTGTTGTTGATTTACTTCTATGCTTTGGGTCATTGTCCTGTTGCAACATCCATCTTCTGTTGAGCTTTAGCTGGTAGACAGATGGCCTTAAGTTCTCCTGAAAAATGTCTTGATAAACTTGGGAATTAATTTTTCCTTCGATGATAGCAATCCGTCCAGGCCCTGACGCATCAAAGCAGCCCCAAACCAAGTTTGGATGAGGTTTTGATGTTGGTGTGCTGTGCCTTTTTTTCGCCACACATAGTGTTGTGTGTTTCTTTCAAAAAACTCAACTTTGGTTTAATCTGTCCACAGAATATTTTGCCAGTACTGCTATGGAACATCCAGGTGCTCTTGTGCAAACTGTAAACGTGTAGCAATGTTTTGTTTGGACAGCAGTGGCTTCCTCTGTGGTATCCTCCCATGAAATCCATTCTTGTTTAGTGTTTTACATATTGTAGATTCGCCAACAGGGATGTTAGCATTTGCCAGTGACTTTTGTAAATCTTTAGCTGGCACTCTAGGATTTTTCTTCACCTTATTGAGCAGTCTGCGCTGTGCTCTAGCAGTCATCTTTACAGGACAGCCACTCCTAGGGAGAGTAGCAGCAGTGCTGAACTTTCTCCATTTATAGACAATTTGTCTTACTGTGGACTGATGAACAGCAAGGCTTTTGGAGATACTTTTATAACCCTTTCCAGCTATATGCAAGTTAACAATTCTTAATCGTAGGTCTTCTGAGAGCTCTTTTGTGCAAGGCATCATTCACATCAGGCAATGCTTCTTGTGAAAAGCAAACCCAGAACTGGTGTGTGTTTTTCATAGGGCAGGGCAGCTGTAACCAACACCTCCAATCTCATCTCATTGCTTGGACTCCAGTTGGCTGACATCTCACTCCAATTAGCTCTTGGAGATGTCATTAGTCTAGGGGTTCACATACTTTTTCCACCTGCACTGTGAATGTTTACATGGTGTGTTCAATAAAAACATGGCAACATTTCATTCTTTGTGTGTTATTAGTTTAAGCAGACTGTGATTGTCTATTGGTGTGACTTAGATGATGATCAGATCACATTTTATGACCAATTTGTGCAGAAATCCATATCATTCCAAAGGGTTCACATACTTTTTCTTGCAACTGTAAGTTGTAATGAAAGTAAAATTAGTAAGTTAATACATACTTGGGTCTGTGAAATCCCAGCAAGTAATTAGAGAAAGCCAGTTGAGTCCTTCACACTGACAGAGCTGATTCTCTCTCTCTACACCCAATAAATAATTTGAAAAAGTAAGGTTCGTTGAACCTCAATAAAAACAGAAGACCAGATGTTTGTGCCCTCCCCTAGTCCCCACAACCATTATTACTACATAGTTTCATTATGGACTGTTTGCTAAACAGTGGGTTGTTTATTACCATATTTTTAGCTTGCTTATATTCTCATTAATTTTCAAAGTTAATGCAAAGTGCCCACATTTGTGTATTCCTGTTGCCAAGTACACAGGGTGAATGTGGTACCTCAGATCTCATTCATATAAAAACATAGATCTGTTATAAATACATTCCCCTGTAATAATGCGACTGAACAGAAACAAATATTAAATGTTGCTAGCAAACACACACTCATTTTTTTTTTATGGAGTTTTAAAAAAAGGGACACTATAGTCACCTGAACACCTTTAGCTTAATGAAGCAGTTTTGGTGTATAGAACATGCCCCTGCAGCCTCACTGCTCAATTCTCTGCCATTTAGGAGTTAAATCCCTTTGTTTATGAACCCTAGTCACACCTCCCTGCATGTGACTTGCACAGCCTTCCATAAACACTTCCTGTAAAGAGAGCCCTATTTAGGATTTCTTTATTGCAAGTTCTGTTTAATTAAGATTTTCTTATCCCCTGCTATGTTAATAGCTTGCTAGACCCTGCAAGAGCCTCCTGTATGTGATTAAAGTTCAATTTAGAGATTGAGATTCAATTATTTAAGGTAAATTACATCTGTTTGAAAGTGAAACCAGTTTTTTTTTTCATGCAGGCTCTGTCAATCATAGCCAGGGGAGGTGTGGCTAGGGCTGCATAAACAGAAATAGTGATGTAACTCCTAAATGACAGTGAATTGAGCAGTGAAATTGCAGGGGAATGATCTATACACTAAAACTGCTTTATTTAGCTAAAGTAATTTAGGTGACTATAGTGTTCCTTTAATTATGATAATTCATAAATATAAACTACTGCAACATTTGCTTTTATGCATTCGCATCCACAATAACAATAATGACAATTATTTATATAGTGCCAACATATTCCACAGTGCTGTACAATAAGAAACAAAACAAACATTTAATTCTAAAAGAACATGTGTGACATACGGGAGCAGAAGCACAAACAATCAATTTACAATCTAAAGGAATAGATCAGGGCATTAAATAGTACTAGTAATGGGGCTTAGATCAGGATATCAGAAACAATACAGCTGGCAGAATCAGACAATTAATCCAAGAGATATTCAGGGATAAACCTGGACAATCCATTTTTTTTTTTTTAAATTAAAAAACGTTGTAAATTTGCTGTAATTCCACCTGGCGTTCAGTAAGTTACAGGCGCTCATATTATATACAATGACTGATGGGTTCATTTCAATGCTTGTCTTGTAATGAGCATTGTTAATGTTCATACTAATAGCCAGTAGATGCTTTGGGGTAAAAATAATAGCAGGTTTCCTTGGTTTACCCCATGCATTTGGTTCTCCCTGGCCGAACTCATGTTTGCCTTCACTAATACCAAAAACCACCGCATTTACAGCTTTGCAAAGTAACCACAGGTCAATGAAAAGGAACATATTTGAATATATTTGAATATATTGCTATAACAAATCCGCCAAGAGACTATAAAGGCTTGGTCAGCACAAACATACTTCACTTGTGATCATCTGGGAAAGGTCACATTAGCTGACGGTGTGAAGTTGACTTAACAAATGTATCCACAAGGGTGGTCATTTTTACTGTCTACCATGGAAACCAGTTAATGTTTACTTTTCATTTTCATGGGTGATGCTAAAGAAAATATTGTCAGCCCCTTATTCAGGGGCGGACTGAGAGCCTTTGGGGCCCCCGGGCAAAATTAGATCCCAGGCCCTTTGAAGGCCAAATATATGTGCATTAAATAAATGTTAAATATAACTCATAATACAGCATTCCTTTGGATGTGTATATTGTGAAGACCTGTGTATCAATGCATGTTTGTATTTGAGTCTGTGTGAATGCACTTGTGCATGTCGGGATGACTACATGTGCTTTTTTTGTATATAGTGTCTGTGTGAATGCGTATGTGACAGGTGACAGTGTGTGAGGGAGAAGGTGACAGGTGGAAGAGTGTGGGAGGTTGTGACAGGTGGCAGAGTGAGGGGGTACCTGGTGGCAGAGTGAGGGAGGGAGGGGTTGAGTGGTGGCAGAGTGAGGGGGAGACACAGTAAGTGGGGGTGACTAGTGACATAGGGAGGGAGAGGGGGTGACTAGTGACAGAGTTAGGGAATGGGTGACTAGTGGCAGAGTGAGGGAGGGAAGGGGTGACTGGTGACAGAGTGAGGGGATGACTGGTGACAGAGGGAGGGAGTGACTAGTGACAGAGGGAGGGAGTGACTGTCACTAGTCACTCCCTCCCTAACTCTGTCACTGTCACCCGCTCCCTCACTGTCACTAGTCACCCCCTCCCTCACTCTGTCATTAATCACCCCCTCTGTCCCTAGTCACCCTCTTCCACACTCTGTCACTAGTCACCCCATCCCTCTCTCTGTCACTAGTCACTCCCTAACTCTGTCACTGTGAAGGAAGGAAGGGGTGACTGGTGATAGAGTGAGGGGATGACTGGTGACAGAGTGAGGGAAGGGATGACTAGTGGCAGAGTGAGGGAAGGAAGGGATAATTGGTGACAGAGTGAGGGAATGACTGGTGACAGAGTGAGAGAGAGGGTGACTAGTGACCGAGTGAGGGAGGGAGTGGGTGACTAGTGACAGAGTGAGGAAGGGGGTGACACAGTGATAGTCACCCCATTCCTCCCTCTGTCACTAATCACCACCTCCCTCACTCTCACTAGTCACACCCTCCCTCTCTCTGTCACTAGTCACACCCTTACTCACTGTCACTAGTCACACCCTTACTCACTGTCACTAGTCACACCCTCCCTCTCCCTGTCACTAGAGTGAGGGGGTGACTAGTGACAGAGTGAGGGGGGTGACAGGTGACAGAGTGAGGGAGTGAGGGAAGGGGTGACTAGTGGCAGAGTGAGGGAGGGGTGACTAGTGACAGAGTAAGGGGATGACTGGTGACAGTGTGAGGGAGGGGGTGACACAGTGACGGAGGGAGGTGGTGACTAGTGACAGAGTGAGGGAGGTGGTGACTGTCACTAGTCACCACCTCCCTCACTCTGTCCCTAGTCACCCCTCCCTCTGTCACTAGTCACCCCTTCCCTGCCTAACTGTCACTAGTCACACCCTACCTCACTCTGTCACTAGAGTGATGGGGTGACTAGTGGTAGAGTGAGGGAAGGAAGGCGTGACTAGTGACAGAGTGAGGGGATGACTGGTGACAGAGTGAGGGAGGTGGTGACTAGTGACAGAGTGAGGGAGGTGGTGACTAGTGACAGAGTGAGGGAGGTGGTGACTGTCACTAGTCACCACCTCCCTCACTCTGTCCCTAGTCACCCCTCCCTCTGTCACTAGTCACCCCTTCCCTGCCTAACTGTGACAGTGAGGGGGGTGGACTAGTGACAGTGAGGGGGGTGACTAGTGGCAGTGAGGGGTGACTAGTGGACTGAGGGGGTGACTAGTGACAGGGGTGACTAGTGACAGGGGGTGACTAGTGACGGTGGGGGGTGACTAGTGACGGGGTGACTAGTAACAGTGGGGTGACTAGTAACAGTGGGGTGACTAGTGACGGGGTGACTAGTAACAGGTGGGGGGGGTATTACTATAACAGGGGTGACTTAGTGACAGGGGGTGACTAGTGACAGGGGGGGTGACTAGGTGACAAGTGACTAGTAACAGTGGGGTGACTAGTGACAGGGGGGTGACTAGTAACAGTGGGGGGGGTGACTAGTGACAGGGGGGTGATTAGGACGGGGGAGGGGGGTGATTAGAGCCTACCTGTGCTTCCTCTTCTCTCCCTGGCTGCTGCTCCTTCCCCTCGCTGGGCTCTGTGTGAGAGGAGTAAACAGGAAGTGATGTCACTTCCTGTCCCTCTCCCATCACACAGAGCACCGCGGGACTGGGAGAAGGAGACCTGGCAGAGAGTGGCTGAAGCTGCCAGGTCTCATGGGGGGGAGGGGTGATTTACAGGGCGGTAGGTTGTGGGGCCCCGTGCTGCATCAGGGGCCCCACAACCTATAAATGAAATAGTTTTATTTTTTTTAATTTTGCCGTTCCAGTTGGAGAGATCTCTGATCTCTCCAGCTGGAGCAAGGCTGTGCTGCCGGGCCCCTGACTGCCTCGGGCCCTCGGTCCATGACCGATATGCCCGAGTGGTCAGTCCGCCCCTGCCCTCTATAATAAGAGAATACAACCAGAAGAACAAAAGAGCTCTGGCCTTCTGGCCTTCATAGTAAAATACAGCAATCATAGTTACATAGTTACATAGTTACATAGTCAAACCTAAAATATCAGAAAGGTGGTAGCCAAACATTGCGATATACTAAAGAGTGACCATATGCTTAATCAATTTTTAGATGACCAACAAACATTATATTTTCCCAAGCTTCCAATTTAAAACTTATGCTGGCACCTATGATAACTCTAGAAACCATCTTCATGACACCACAGAATGCCTATTAAAGACTTCACAAGGTTCAAGAAATCCATAGGTTGTAGGAATAATCCTAATTTCGATTACATTCAAGATAATTTTCTCTCATTGGACAACAAGAAAAATAACAGAGTAAAATCTAATATGGACTGTAACAAAACAGAGGGTAATCTATTTACTTACATGCCCCTGTCCAAAACAATATGTAGGAAGAACAAAAAGGTTCTTAAAAATAAGAGTGTCAGAACATATAAGAAATATTAAAAAAGGATTGCCTACACATAATCTGTCAAAATATTTTAATGATGTTCATGGAAGAGATCCAGGTGATTTACAGTTTTTACCTATTTAAAAAGTCAATGTGCATTGGAGAGGGGGAAATCAAGACAAAAATCTAGACTAAATAGAAATCTTTGAATCTATATTTTTATTTTCTATTTATTTGTTTTTTTATTTGACTTATTTTTTTTATTATTATTTCGTTTCACCTTATTGCATAGTCATGTCTCTATATTTACACAATTCTTTTTTTGCCACACTTCTCTGACAATCTACCATTTTAACGTGTGGTTATTTAGTTGCCAGTACATTGTATTATACTTATTCTTTCACCCCTCTATTCATTATTTTTCATTCTTAATTTTCTCTTGCTCTTCAGATTTATCCTATTGTATTGTTGATACTATGTTTCTTTATTTGTATTTCTAATCTGTTTTTTTTTCGCTTGGCACTAACTTCATTTTTTAATTATTATGTACTATATATTATCTACTATCTTTATTTTCATTCTCATTCTCA